GAAAACTATGCAACTGCTTAAAAGAATGAGAAACATCTGTAAGTACCATTATGGAAGAATCCCAAACTATAAGAATCCATTGAAAAATAAAAGGAAAAAAAAAGATGAACAACCACTTTGGAAAGCAGTTTGGCATGATTTACTGAAGTCAAAGGTATGTACACCCAACAATTTTACCCCTTGGGGTACATATATATATATATACACACACATATACACACACACCAACTTCAGTTGGTGCTACAAGAGCCTTATACAAGAATGCTCTTTATAGCATCCTTTATAGTAACCCCAAATTGAAAAAAATCTAAACACAATCAACAATGGAAAAGAGAAACTGGGATTCAATTAAACAATGGAATGCAAAAGGGCAATGAAGATGAGTCACTGTTCCGGGCGACGATATGAAAGAATTGCACATAATGCTGCACACAGCCAGCTCAATGTGAAGGAATACACCCTGTACCAATCCCTTTCTATAAAGTTCAAAAGCGTAGATGAAACAAAAATAGAATACCTAATGAAGCAAAGCAAGTAGTTACCATGAAGGTCAAGGCAGTATTTACCTGTGGCAGGAGGGAAGGTGTAGGAACTATGAGGGAGAATGAAGGGGGTTCCCAGTGTGCTGGCTCGATTTACACCAATACTCACTTCATAAGAATTCATTCACTAATTCATTCATTTTGGTTTTTTCCACTTTTCTATATGTATTGTATGTCAGATACATTTAAAAAGCAAAATGCAAAATATGTACAGAATGTCACCATCTGTGCTTTAAATAGCTAGATCCATAAATAGAAGGAGAAAGAGATACTAATGAAAAGGGAACCAGAGAGCATGAATGACCAGGAGACTACTTTTCTGTTATACTGTTTTTCTTTCAAAGTTTGGACCAAGTATATCACTATCTGATCAAAAAAAATTTGTTGTTCGTTCCTGTTAGTCATTTCAAAGTTAACTTACCAAATTCCTGCTGCAATAAAGGAGGCAGTGGTAATAGGTATCAAGGCTGGATACCTGACATCATATTCTCGAATTCCACAATACCATTCCAGGTAGACTATGCAGTAAAACGCAATTGATAAGCTGACGAGCAACAAGGCACTGCCACAGACAAACCAGCTGTGGAGATAAAAACAGTAAGAGGGCTGACAGCACTTAATGAATCATCGGGTATCTTAAAAGTTTTCATTAACAGCTTAAAAATCTACTTCTAAGAGGCCAGGCACAGTGGCTCACTCCTGTAATCCCAGCACTTTGGGAGGCCGAGGCTGCTGGATCACCTGAGATCAGGAGTTCAAGACCAGTCTGGCCAACACGGTGAAACCCCGTCTCTACTAAAAATAAAAAATTAGTCAGGTGTGGTGGCACATGCCTATAGTCCCAGCTACTCGGGAGGCTGAGGCAGGAGAATCAATTGAACCCGGGAGGCGGAGGTTGCAGTGAGCCGAGGTCACGTCACTGCGCTCCAGCCCAGGCGACAGAGTGAGACTCTGTCTTAAAAAAAAAAAAAAAAAATCTACTTCTAAGAATATCAAGTGGTGCAGAAAAAGCCATACTTAAACAATCCAGACTTTCAGAAAGTCTCAATCTATGGAAGATGGGGGTCAGAAAAAGAGACACACAACTCAGGAAAGAATGAAAAGACAGACCTGAAATACATGCATTTACATATACACTCTCATCAGCCAACCAACCAAGGGAAAAGTCTGATCACGACAATGCATTTTCTTTAAAAATACAAGGAAGAGGCTGGGCACAGTGGCTCACGCCTGTAATCCCAATACTTTGGGAGGCCGAGGCAGGCGGATCACCTGAGGTCAGGAGTTCAAGACCAGCCTGACCAACATGGAGAAACCCCATCTCTACTAAAAATACAAAATTAGCCAAGCATGGTGGCAGGTGCCTGTAATCCCAGTTTCTTGGGAGGATGAGGCAGGAGAATCGCTTGAACCCAGAAGGCAGAGGCTGCAGTGAGCTGAGATGGCGCCACTGCACTCCAGCCTGGAGTGCTTGGGCAACAAGAGTGAAACTCTGTCTCCATAAAAAAAATAAAATAAAATAAAATAAAATAAAAAATAAAATAAAATAAAACAAAAATACAAGGAAGATAGTGGCTTTCTGGTTGTTTCTGAAGTTTTGAGTGTGACAGGATTAAAGAAGTTTATCACTGGGAAACTTCATTCCTCCAAGTTAAGTGGACTTTATAATTCAAATTTTCTCTCATAAAAGATTCCTAAATGAAATTCTCCCATTTTCAAAATATCTTCTACCCACCACCTCACCCTCAATGCCAATGCCTTTTGACTCCCTTCCAAGTCTGCCTGTGATCTGATTCAGCCAGTGTGAGGCAACCTGGACAACCCCTTCCCTCCACCCCAGCTGGACTTGGGGACTGAGGTCCCTTTCCCATTCTCCCAACTCAATCCAATATCCCATCATCATCTGCTTCACTATGGGAAAAGCCTGACAGTCCACGTGGAAGAGAGAGGGAGAACGGATGGCTACAACTGTTAAGTTACAAAGGCACAAAGTAAGCTTCCAATAATGCAAGGTTCCAGATTCCATGAAGGCTTTTTATGACGATGCAATTCTGAGATTCGGAGTCATGAGAGGCAGCAGAGTGAAGGGGTTAAGAGCACAGCCTCTGAAATCTGTCTATATGGGTTTGAATCTTAACTTGAGTAAGACTAGTTTTGTGACCCTAGGCAAATTACCTAACCTCCGTGTGTTTCAGAAATATTGACAGTACTTAACTCAGAATAGCTGTAAGAATTAAATCAAGTAGTCAGCAAAGTGCTCCTCACAGCTCACCCTCAATCATAATCATTATTATTCCACTCATGTTATTTTTATTTTCATTTATTTATTTTTGAGACAGAGTCTCACTCTGTTGCCCAGGCTGGAGTGCAGTGCCGCAATCTCAGCTCACTGCAACCTCTGCCTCCCGGGTTCACAAATTCTCCCGTCTCAGCCTCCCGAGTAGCTGGAATTACAGGCGCCGGCCACCACACCCAGCTCATTTTTGTATTTTTAGTAGAGATGGGGTTTCACCATGTCCATGTTGGCCAGGCTGGTCTCAAACTCCTGACCTCAAGTGATCCACCTGTCTCAGCCTCCCAAAGTGCTGGGATTACAGGCATCAGCCACCATGCCTGGCCATCACTCAAGTTATATCTATGAGGAAAAAATGTCCATGTTCATCTTTAGGAGTCTTCAAAGACCTCTCTTCTGCTAGAGTGTGCAGTCTCACTGTGGGGAGTATTGCCCCCAAAGTGAAGAAAAAAATCTGGCTCTAATTGTATGTATAAAGCACAGATATGCATGCAGTATATAAGTGAATATATAGTTTATCTAACTCCACATTCCACAGGGATGATTAGAAAAAAAATGTCTAAAAAGACTCCTTAGGGGTGATAACAAAAGGCTGAAAAGCACATACTGGTAAAGGATATAAGAAATTTTTTTTTTTTTGAGACAGAGTCTCGCTGTTGTCACCCAGGCTGGAGTACAATGGCACGATCTCGGCTCACTGCAACCTCCACCTCCCGTTTTCAAGCGATTCTCCTGCCTCAGCCTCCTGAGTAGCTGAGATTACAGGTGCACACCACCATGCCAAGCTAACTTTTGTATTTTTAGTAGAGACGGGGTTTCACCATGTTGGCCAGGATGGTCTTGAACTCCTGATCTCAGCTGATCCACCCACCTCGGCCTCCCAAAGTGCTGGGATTACAGGCGTGAGCCACCGTGCCCGGCCTAAGAAAAATTTTTAAACTGCCTGAACAAAATATAATACTATCAGTCAGTGGTCCTCGGCTCTGGCTTTATATCATAATCACCTTGCACCTTTCTAAGAGAAACTACCTAGTCCCCAGTTTCCAAAATTCTGGGCCCAAGCATCTGGGATTTTAATTTTGCTTTCTGCTTTTAAGTCCACAGTTGATTTTGACGCACACAAGCAGAGTTTTTTAAACTGTGATTTCTATAGCATCACAGTGTTTTTCAGTTTTTAATACGGCCCTGCTCTCCTATCTTTGAACAATATAAAGAACCTTAAGGCCTCAAGCTTCTAAACCTAGGCTACAGCCAGGGGAAAAAGAAATCAACTCAGGTGTCAGAGGAACAAGCCATTTTAGCCATTTTCCAAAAGCAGAACTCAGCCAGCACTGTCTTTTGTGCCACCCTCTCATTTCATGGCTGCTCAATACCCTCCAACACCCCTTAATGAGTCCTTCCCAAGAAAACAATGCGACTCAAAATCCTCAGCCTTTGAGAATGCATTTATGCCTTTTTCTCTCTAAGATGACACCTTGTTGAGGACAGATTTATGACTTCTACTTTTTTTTTCCAACTCCCACAGCCCTGGTCCCATTGTCTGCGTCCTGGCTTCGCCACACAGCACCTGTGTGGTCCTGGGCACTCCACTTCACTGCAGTTGCCCCCAAACATCTTATGTATGATCATTTCTTACTCTGCCATTTATTTAAACTACCAGAAATACCCAATAAAAGGACACAGATAGAGAAGTTATCTCACATCTCCTAAAACCTCAAAAAGATCTCAGTCCTGAGGCTGACCTGGACTAGGTACCCCTCCTAGACGCTCCCATAATACCTTGCGCCTACATTTACAGAGCACACATGAGGCCTGGTCACTTGTCTGCTGCAGCCTAAAGTGAGCTGTTGGAGAGCTAGAAATGCACCTTCCATGTGTTTGGCACCCACAGCCAAACACGTCTCAGGTTCCCTAAAGTCTCTGATGAAGGAAAGAGCAGCTGCTGTTGGTGGTGATTAAAGTATCCCTCCCCTCCAGGCAGGTGCAGTGGCTCCCACCTGTAATCCCAGTACTTTAGGATGTCAAGGTGGGAGGATCACTTGAGCCCAATAGTTTGAGACCAGCCTAGACAACATGAAGAGACCTCGTCTCTATAAAAAATAAACCAAATTAGCCAGGCATGGTAGTGTGCGCCTATAATCCTAGCTACTTGGGAGGTTGAGGTGGGAGGATCACTTGAGCCTAGGAAGTCAAGGCAGTAAGCCATGATCGCACCACTGGAGGGTGACAGTGCAGCAAGACCCTGTCTCAAAATAAAAATAAAGTATCCATCTCTCTTTTCCCAGCCCACATTCTAAGACAGATACTGAGTCAAGCTGATGAAGATTAAATGTCTGTTATACTGATGCAGCGGTGGGAAGAATATGGCTTTGGTGAGTGGTGACAAAGCACTTCCTAATACCGGGTCTCTGAGACCCAGAAACAGGCAGGCTTACCCACTGGGTTCCAGGTCAAAATGAAAACCTAGAGACCTTTTCCTGTGAGGGCTGCCCCCGTGAAATGACACCATGGGAAGGCAGACCAGACTCTGCACTTCCTACAGGCAGCTGACGTGCAGGAGAAGGTGCTGAGCTACCTTCGTCCAATTCTTCATCACACACTCAATCAGTCACGCCACCTCCCAAAAAGGAGTGAGTGACAGGGAAGGGCAGAAGATGGGAGTGTTTAGGGAAAGTTTCTCCCCTAGAAAGTAGAGGACAGTTTAAATAAACTCCCCTCTGCCTACTTTCCCGAGGGCTTGTTCCATGTGGCTCGACAGTCTCCCCTGCCAGAAATCACTGCTCCTCCTGAAGGCCCTTGAAGAGAAATCATGTGTCCTGCTGTGATACCAGGGGACCACAGTCCTGTCTGCATCTTCCTAACCCCACTGGTACTTCCAAATTACTACTCTTGACCCTAAGCACACCAGCTCTCCCAATGCCAGCTCTGCTGCTCACCAACATACCTCTCCTTTCCATTTATTATCTGAGGGTCTCCACATCACTCTCCAATGTGCAGTAAGGACCCTAGGATATGATTCCAACCCTCTCCTCCATGTCAGCTCTGGAGACTATACTGAAGGGATCTCAGCCCCTGCGAATGAGGAACTATTGTACATCTGGCCTGGCCACAAAGCTCGCACTCCTCCCACTGCTGACCTTCACCTGCACTCCAACGCAGTCACACCCCGTAGTTACCTTGTCAGCTGTAAGTACCCTCTGAAACCAACCTTGAGACCCGGTTCTCACCGGCCACAGTTCTCAAGCCTTCCTCCCAGTACTCTTGTACTTGGTCTTCATGAAGACCTTCAGTCAGTCTTTCTCCCTCCTTTTTTCCCCAAATGGATTAGGTCCTTCTTAAATTTCTTACCTTCGTCATCCTACAATATATTTATTTGCACAAAAATAACTTCCAGTTCTCTTCCACTCTACTGTGTATGCCCAGAGCACACACCCTCCCATTGGTTTTATTTTTTCCATCTTTATTGAAGTATAATGGACAAATTAAAATTTTATATATTCAAGATGTACAATGTGATGACCTGATATATATATATATATACACACATTGTGAAATGATTACCACAATCAAGTTAATCATCACACTCATCACCTCAGTTACCACTGGTCAGGGAACAGGGGAAGACACAAGACCTACTCTTAGAAAATTTCAAGTATACAATACAGCATTATTAACTATAGTCACCATACTGTATGTACATTAGATCCCCAGACCTTATTCATCTTACAACTAAAAATATGTACCCTTTGATCCCCATCTCATATTCATCTTCGTATCACCAGCACCTCCAATACAGGGCCTGGCACAGAGTAGGTGCTTACTGTTTGAAGAATTCAACTAACAAAATATAACACGAAAAATCAGACATGCGTTTAATTTATGAAGCAATAAAGTTTTCTTACCTGCTAGTGTGGAAGTTTTCTTTAAGAGTTTTAAAGAAGTCAACATAATAGGTCACAACAATGGATGCCAAAATCCAGAATCCAGAATGGATATTAAGTCTTGGAAGAGGTTTCTCCTTTTTCTGAACAGCTGTGGAGGTTTCTGCAAATAAGGGAGATTTCAACTTATTAAGTTACCATAATTTTGCGAGGAAAAATTACACTTAATTTAAGCCAAATAAAATAATTTCCTAGAGCTAGGAACCAGAGTCTCTCCCATGATAAATTCTTCTGTAAAACCCTTGACCATCCTGGCTAACACAGTGAAACCCCGTCTCTACTAAAAAATACAAAAAACTAGCCCGGAGAGGTGGCGGGCGCCTGTAGTCCCAGCTACTCGGGAGGCTGAGGCAGGAGAATGGCATAAACCCAGGAGGCGGAGCTTGCAGTGAGCTGAGATCTGGCCACTGCACTCCAGCCTGGGCAACAGAGCAAGACTCTGTCTCAAAAAAAAAAAAACAAAAAAAACCCTTGAGATAGGTTTATATTTACAAAAAATAATAAGAGCCCACTAACAAATACAGTCAATTTATTTCCTCTAAATATATTTTGAAATCAAATTTACATTTTCATCGTCTTTCGGAAATAACAATGCCACCTGGAAATGTAAGAATTTTAATATGTTTCACATTTCTTCTAGGAAAGGAGTTAGTCCTGTTGATTAGGAAAAATGCCAAAGGCAAATGGTAGCGCATGAACTGGACTTGTGGTCTTTCAAGAATACTTTTATAACTAAATTCTATTTTTTTTTTTTTTTTTTGAGTCAGAGTCTCCCTCTGTCGCCCAGGCTGGAATGGAATGGTTCCATCTCAGCTCACTGCAACCACCGCCTGCCGGGTTCAAGCAATTCTCCTGCCTCAGCCTCCCGAGTAGCTGGGATTACAGGCGCCTGCCACCACGCCCAGCTAATTTTTGTATTTTTAGTAGAGACCGGGTTTCACTATGTTGGCCAGGCTGGTCTCTTTGGCCAGGCTGGTCTCGAACTCCTGACCTCGTGATCAGGCTGCCTCGGCCTCTCAAAGTGCTGGGATTACAGGCGTGAGCCACCATGCCCAGCCTATAACTAAATCATTACTTCAAACACAGCTCAAAAGTGGAAACGGCACACCAGAGCTCTAGTTCCAGCACAGCCCTGTCTAGACAGGTGATGGACATTTTTCCTGTCTGGAACGCAATCCGAAAGAAAGGGTGGATGGGGGTTGGGTCAGATGGATGATTTCTAGAAAGTTTTCCGAGGATTCTGACATGCCCTCTATGTTCACGTGAGAATGAATGGTCCACATATGAGGTTTTGGGCCTTTAGATGACCATCGGAAACCCTACGAAGCATGTTCATAATATTCTGGAATATCCTCAAAATGTATACATCATCATGCCTGGGCATCAGGTAATTCATGTTTATTTTGAAAACGTAATAAATGGACACGGTTTTAAAACATATGGGTTACAAATATCCAAAATGAGGTATCTGACTCCCATCCTTAACCTCAGATCTAATCCCCAGAAGCAACCACCACTTACAATTTCTACTGAATTCTTCCATTATTCTATGCACCTACAGGTGAACATACATCACAGGTTACCTGTTTTGTACCCAAATGGCGGCATACCATAGTGTTCCGCACTTCCCTTTGAAAATCATCCCCATTGGTACATACAAGTCGACCTGGCGTGTCATGTATACACATATCCAAATTTACTTAACCAGCCTTCTGCTGACAGGCAAGACAAGTATTTCTAGTGATTCGCTATTGCAAGCAATGCAGAGGTGAAACACTGCGCACATCATTGTACACTGCGATACAGGCATGTTTCCGGTAAATTCTTAAGACTTAGAACCGGTGGGTATTTTTAATTTTAACCGATATTTCCAAACAGGTGTCAAATCAGCTCTCCAGAGAATTCTGAAGCGCAGCTGAGATGACGATGCACAGCACTACGCGATTCTAAGGATCTTCCCTGACATCAAATATTCGACTTGCAAAACCGAAACTCGGTCCCTTCAGACTGGGCCGGGGCCGCCGGAGGCCGGCCATTTTCCAGCGCCTCGCCTCTGAGAACCTCGGGGCGGCTTGGTGCGCGCCTCACCCGGCCTGGCGTTACTCTCGCGGTCCAGCTGGGCCTCGGCGTCCGGCAAGAGAAGGAATCGCCGACGGAGCTGTTCCCGGGCCCGTGAAGAGTCCATCTTGGTACCGCCCCAAAACGCGACGGAAGTGACGTCAGGTAGAGCGCTTCCGGCGTCGGCTCCAGAGTTGGGCCTCCTGGCGTTTGGATTGGAGACTGTGTTCTCTTCGCGGTTTTAGTTAACTAGCAGCTAGGATTGAGTCGGCCTGAAGGGTTTCGCTCTCACGTCGGCAGGTGCGATTTGAATTTTAAAACACTGAGCTTTCCGGGTCGAAAGGTTCCCAAGTTTATTCCGACCTATGGAAGCCCAGAAGGACCAGGATTACCGCTGCCGCAGGATGCGTCCAGGTCCGGGATGCGAGACCGTGAGACGCTGCGCTTCCGAAGCCCTCGCAGACTCCCGGGTGCCAGAGCAGGAGAGATACCCTCTGTCCGGGCCTCCATCCTCAGCCCCCAGTTTCTTTCCTACTTTTGCTTTTCAGGAGTCGCCCAGCAAGATTTGAAAGGAGGAGAAAGGCCTGCTGGACAGGATGCTAGAGCCTGGCAGTGACCACTTGAGGACCCCTGGGCATTAAATAAACTTCTTGGGGCCCGTTTCGTTATTACACTTGGCTCTAGATTTGTTGTGCGTTTCAGTGAGAAGCACCTGTATGTGGTTCACGTGAGCCTTCTCCTCGCCACTTGTGAAAAATCCTCCCAGCCTGAACCGAGGGAACTAAATTACTTTCCCAGCAAACTGCCGTTTTCCACACTACTCACGCCCACGAACTGTGTGTTACGAGGTCACAACTTTTTCTCCGTCAGTAATCCCGCGTATTACTCTCCCAACCCTTTCCCACCGAGTCATGTGCTGAGAAATGGTGGGCTTAACCACGCAAACGTTTGCTGAGCACCTACTATTTGCTAGGAGCTGTTAGGCACCATGCCAGCAGTGGAGATAAAGATGAGTAAGACATGGCCTTGCACGTGAGGAGCTCCTGGTCCAAAGAAAACCACAGAGGTGTACTACAAGGTAACTCTGTATTTATAAATTTGTGAAAGCACTTTATCAGTATAGCCAACATTTTCTGAGCGGCTGCATGTGATAAAGTGGTGAGGACAGAAGTAAGAATCTAGTAGAGGAAGCAGCTTCAATACAGTGCCATAATAGAAACACTGTACATGGGGCATAATAGAAGCACTGTACATGTAAAGGGCAGTTTATTCTGCTGGAGTGTGGGAGAGCAGGGAGAGTGATTTCAGGTGGATTGAATACAGGGGTGGAGAGCCAGTGAGCTACATAGGAAGTAAAATTTGAATTAGTAGGCACTGTTTAATATCTACTATGTGTTGGGGTGTTTGTAAAAGGAAAGTAATAAATACTCAAGAAAAGAGTGCCAGCTGGGCACGGTGGCTCACGCCTGTAATCCCAACACTTTGGGAGGCCAAGGCGGGTGATTCACGAGGTCAGGCGTTCGAGACCAGCCTGGCCAACATGGCGAAACTCTGTCTCTACTAAAAATACAAAAATTAGCCAGGCATGGTGGCCAGCACCTGTAATCCCAGCTACTCTGGAGGCTGAGGCAGGAGAATCGCTTGAACCTGGGAGAAGGAGGTTGCAGTGATTGCGCCACTGCACTCTAGCTTGGGCAACAGAGCGAGACACCATCTCAAAAAAAAAAAAAAAAGAGAGAGAAGTACCAAATCTCTACTGATTTATCATTTCTTCAGCCTTTCTTCACCCTTTGGAGCACAGGATTTAACAGCTGGGTGGATCATATGGCCTTTCTAAACAATACCTCCTTTTTTTTCTGTTTTTTTTTTTCTTTCAAGACTCCTAAAGAACTGGATTTGTTTCTTCAAAGCCAACTAAAGTCTTTGCCCTCCCTTCTTCTCTCTCTCGTACAGGGTTAGAAGCCTTGTTAACAGGAAGTGAATTTGTCCTATCAAATACAATCTTCTGTTGATTGTCTCCTCGAAAAAGGGTCAGTGCAGGGCCTCCCTGGTAACTGAATACTCCCAAGAGCATCGCCGCTATCCCAGGTTCCCATACATGGTATGTTCAGGTCAGATCAGGTTTCTCCTTTTGTGGTTTCGGGGCCTTTGAATTTGGATCTGAAATCCTTCCAGAGTTTTTTTCTCTGCAATTTTAAATGGCACTACTTGCACACCATATTGATACTTAAAAGCAGGTTGGAAAAATTCCAGTATTTAATGACCACATCTTCATTTCTGAGGTCCATTAAAGAAGCCCTTTGGGCATGTGCGGGGGCTCACGCCTGTAATCCCAGCACTTTGGGAGGCCGAGGCAGGTGGATCACCTGAGGTCAGGAGTTTGAGACCAGCCTGGCCAACATGGTGAAACACCCCATCTCTACTAAAAAAATAATAATAAATAAATAAATTAGCTGGGCGTGGTAGCAAGCGCCTGTAATCCCAGCTGCCTAGGAGGCTGAGGCAGGAGAATGGCTTGAACCCAGGAGGTGGAGGCTGCAGTGAGCCACAACTGCCCATTTCACTCCAGCCTGGGCAGCAAGAGTGAAACTCTCTCAAAAAAAAATAAAAAAGAAAAAAAAGAAAGAAAAAGAATAGAAACCCTTCAATGTGTGTACTGTGGCACCCTAATTATAGATAGATATGTGATACCAGATTTGCTACCAATTAAGACGTTTTCATTTTCAATGGGTTACTTGTGGGAAACAATGAATTTCATTGTGACCTTTGCTGGCCTCCCCTTAGCAACATAGTGAAATCCAAGGTGTTTATAGACTGTTGAATCCTGCCTCCATCACTGTGGGTCCTTGGGCAAGTTATTTTATTGTTCTGAGTATCAGTTTTGCTCATCTGTGAAACATCAGGTATTGGAGTGAAGATACATGTTTATCGTTTAGCTTAGTGCCTGGCATATATAGTTTGCCTCCAAACATCAGTAGTTACTATTCACTACTCCTTTATTTGGCCTGCCGGGCTGTCAAGATCTGGCGCCTGTTCACCCCTTGA